ACACACCCACAAATGCCCTTAAAAGTTCTAGAATTAAGAGGTGAAAAGAGCATATGTCTCATTCTCATCTTACGAGATTTATAGTAATATGATAATATGATTTGGGTAGTATTGTATTGTGTATGATAATGTATTGTATTGTGTATTGTAATGTGTTAGCATTTGCAAGATATAGGTAATTCCATGAATCAGTATTTTCCAGATGACCAGTGCAAGTTAAATCAATATGTATATGAAAAGTTAATATGATTTTATATCATATTGCAGCTTACGTTTATGAAAGTACCACTTGTTGAGTTCAAGTGCAGTTTCTAAAAAGAATGTTTGCAATTACCTGAAATTACTGTTTTTCAAACTATGTATCTGAAACCAATATTTTGAATCATAGATGTTAACCAAAATAATGATAGCATTTTGAATTGAAGAGTAGATAAAATCCACTTTTCCTGCTCTAAAGCCAGACATTTTTTTTTCAAAAATGTAAAATAATGTCACTTTTTAATAAACATACTTTTGTTTGAAAATTATTTTTCAAACAATGTAATTTATTCTAACCATAGCTTTATAATATTATCTATAAATGAATTAATATTTTAATTTCTTAGTTTTAAGAATATAGCATTCATATAAATAATCCACATAAACAAATTTCTGTAGAGTCTTTATTAAAATATATAAAGAGGTTTTGAAACCAGTGAGTCTCAGGATGACAGTAAGCCACTGTGATCTTGCCTCTGCCTTCTCCTACATTGTAGCTCCTTGAGGACCACTTTCAGGGCCTAACTGCACCCTGCAGTATAATGCCTCGGAGAACTTTATTTAGGGTCTCCCTTTTCATTTGTCGATTTAGAAAGGGCTTACTCCTTTTTCTCAACCACTTCCTCTATGAATTCTTTTTGGAGATCTCCATGGCATCTTATATAAACTATTATAATATTATACTACCAAAGTCTTCAGAAACAATTTTATCTCTATGACTTGATATAAGACTTATAAATGTATAGATTTTCAGTTTATGTTTATGGATGTTTATGGAAGTAGTTAGTAATTCCAGTGTGAAGAATGGACTTGGATTTATGAATTATCACAGCATTCTCATCATTTAAAATTACATAGTACATTATGATTCTTTCCAATTACTTGAATTCTTACAGTAATAGATATGTTTTTTATTTTTTCTTAGGCTAGACTAAGAAAGATCTGGTAACACTGAATAAACTAGAATTATGGGAGAGTAGGTAAGCACTTGTTCCGTTGTCTCTGGATTGCTTCCATCTGTATTTCTGCATTTTCTTACTTCATTTGATATTGGGTTGTGGACAAACACTGTATCAGCTCAACAGTTAACCCACTAAGCCATCAGGGCTCCTGGCATTGTTCTAGCCCATAATAAAGTCTCACTAAGTGGAGGAGTTGTTACTGTGATTATTATGTGCCCATCATTGTAGCTGAAATCTGCCATAGAAGTTTATGTGGCTGCATCACACTATTGTAAAATGATTTTATAGTCAAATTTGCCAGTGTATTTGTTACTTACCAACTTTATGCCATCCCTTAAGTTTTCACACCTTCTTCCTCTGCTTTTCTTGACAGTTTGAAATCCATCCCCACCTTTCAAAGCCCTGCTTACTCAGTGTACCTTTCTCCACAAGTTATTTTCCCCAATTAGTTGGATTCAGAATGGTTTTGTGTTCTCATATATGCCATTTGTTACAATGACATTCAGTTTTAGAAAAGATGGAAATTGAATGATCACAGTTCACATGAGGTGTTTGTAAATAGGTGAAAGATGATTTGAGATGGACTATCTTGTTAACGCCCAAGAGAGGGAAAATAGATTAGTTGGACTCCCATTTTGTTCTAGAATATTATTTTTCAAAGAAGTTGAAATATATAAAAACTAAGCCTTCAATCAGCTACCCTCTGAATTTTAGCTATAGTATTTTATAAAGGAAGTATACTTCTATAATAAGTAGTTGCTGTCAAGTTGGTTCTGACTCATGGTACCCCATGTGTGTCAGACTAGAACTGGACTCCATAGGGTTTTCAGTGGCTGATGTTTCAAAAGTAGATCGGCAGACCTTTCTTCTCAGGTACCTCTGGGTAGACACAAACCTCTGGCCTTTTGATGAGCAGCTGAGTGCTTTAACCTTTTGCACCATCCAGGTAATAATGTCATACTATGACATGACTGTGAGGCTCCTTAACATCTTAATAATAGAAACACAGTAAATCTCAGAACCAGAATGATGTGGCGCAGACTCTGGAGGCAATTCTCAGCTGGTGACACTAATTTCTTTACAGTTTCATTTCCTCATCTAGGGATAGTAATAGTGCTTCATAGGGTTGTTTTAATGTTATTGTTATTAAAATGAACCCATATTATAAGATGGGCTTCTGGTGTGGCATTGCCCGTTAGAGCGGTAAACTGCATCTTCGGTTTGGGCCGTTAAGGCCGGCAGTTCTAACTCACCAGCTGCTCCTTGGAAACCCTGTACAGGGTCGCTATGAGTCGGATCCCGACTCGTTGGCACTTAGCAACAACAACAACATATTATAAGATAGCTATATTTTATAATAGACTTCTGGTGTGACACTGTGATAAGCACTGCAAGGTTGGCAGTTTAAACTTACCAGCTGCTCTTTGGACACCCTACACAGGGTTGCTGTGAGTCAAAATTGGATGGCACTTAACAACAGCAATAATATATTTTAGAATACTTTCTCCTTTATTTTTTTTTCTTAAGATAAAATTTGCATAACATTAAATTAACCATTTTAAAGTGAATCATTTGGTGACATTTAGTACATTCAGGGTTGTGCAACCACCACTTCTATATCGAGTTTCAAAACACGTGTTGTGTTAAGTCATTTGTAATCTTGCTAGAGGTTTTTTCTCTCATTTCCTCCCACCATCCCTATCTCTCCCTTTCTTACTTTCGTATTCTAAGAAATATTAGAAGTTTTCATTAAATAGGGGGTCTAGAAAGCAAAAGACAGCTGGTTTTTAACTGTGTGTTAGATGGTTGTTTGAATTAGAGGAACCATGAGATATAAGGATTAAAATAGCCAGGACTTAACCTTTAACCCAGCAACAAGAAAAAAGGATTGTAATGTTGTTACCTTTCTTACTTGAAATCACATCAGTATTTATAGTCACTGTCCTGCCACAATTCTGATAAATCCTGAATAGTAAATTTCAAAATCTTTGTTTTGAATTTATTTCTAGGTCCCCTTTTTTCACTGTGAAGTTTAAGATTCCATACGGTCTTTCTTTGTGTATTTGAGAATTAACTCAAGTTCTAGAAATTCTTTCAGAATGTGAAGTGACTTTTGAACTTCATTCTGATCTAAGATACTCTAACCTTGATAACTCTGTTTATTCCTTTATTCTTGATATGCATGTGGATTACCCTTCAAAGGCAATTCTGAGTTGATCCTCAAAGCTTTTCTTCAACTGCTCTTCTTACCCAGTCCTTGACTAGGAGAATGAGGTTCCAGGCTCTCACTATTTTATAATCAGCTGGATTGTTCATTATAAAAACTCAAACTCTATCTATATTTATTGTACCATGGTCATTTGCCCTTTCTTAAAAAAAGACATTCTTTTGGCTTTTGTTACTATGGTCCACAGTTCCGTGTTCATGATTTCCTTATAGTCTTACTAGAAACCTAATTCTTATGTATTTTTCTTGCAGAAAGGGCTATTGCAAGACATGAAGTGAGAGAAATTGATCAGCGACATACAATGGATGGCCCGCGGCAAGATGCAGCTTTAGATGAGGAAGAGGACATGGTCATCATTTATAACAGAGTCCCCAAAACTGCAAGCACCTCTTTTACCAATATCGCCTATGACCTTTGTGCAAAGAATAAGTACCATGTCCTTCACATCAACACTACCAAAAATAATCCAGTGATGTCACTACAAGATCAGGTAAACACCACTTAAGGAATGCACAAATATTTCCTGATATTTTCTCACTCAAATTTTTCATCTCAAAGGGATACAGCATTTCAGAAAGACGTGTATGCTGATTCCAGTCCCTGGGTAGTGCAAACAGTTAATGCACTAGACTAAGAGGTTGGAGGTTGGAGGTTCAAGCTCACTTAGAGTTACCTCAGAAGAAAGGCCTTGTAATCTACTTCTGAAAATTCGGCCATTGAAACCCCTAGGGAACACAGTACTGCTTTGACACACATGTAGTCGTCATGAGCCAGAATCAACTCCATGGAAACTGGTTTGGTTTTATGCTAGTCTCTCAGGGAAAGGGACTAACCAAGTTTTGTATAATTTTATATTCTTCACAATATTTGGCACATTTACTTGCATGGAGTATGTATTCACATATCTATCAAATAATTAATGAATGGCTTGGTTTTCTGAAGAGAAAATTGATGCTCTTTGGCATGGCAACCTTTAAAACCATTAAATATTTTTGGCAAGATACCTTGCAATAAAAATCACTATATTGTCTCCAAATTATGATGTTGTTAAGTCCCTTCCAGTTGGTTCTGACTAATAGCGTCCCTGTAGAGGTGCTTCCAGCTAGTGGGTTTGAACCGCCAACCTTTTGATTGCCCATTGTTTATCCTGCAGCGCCACACCAGGACTCCAATTTATGATAGAGAAATATTTAATAATTAGCCTTAAACTCCTAGAGAACTGAGACTTTGGCTTTTATTTTTAACATAATCTTGTCTTCTAAATTCTGAGATTTTAGATAGATAATTTAATAAAATGGTTTTAACAGAAATGAAAGAAGCTATCTCATGAATTCAAGTTTACCCGTCACTGTAGCAGTAAAAGCACACATCTCCCCAGTGCCTGCAGTTCTGAACTATAATTATAAATAAATGAAAGTTCAGTCTATAAATATTAAAGAGGGTGGGAATTGGACCTCATGCAAAGAAAATACTATATAGAATTAAATATTATAATGGCCTTATTAGAAAAGTATTTGCAATAAAGTCTTACAGTTAGAATGGCATTTATGTATTGGTCATCATTGACTTACCATATATTCGAATTACAGTGAACCACACTTACGACCGTCTTTGTTTTTTGGGATTTTTTGTTGCTTTTTTTTCCCTCTGTTGTTAGTAGCATGTACTACATACATTGTTGTAGCTTGTTATTTGCTGATGTTATCATTCTCAGATGTTCTAGCCCCCAAAGACAAAGAATGGATTCATAAAGATACTGAAAATGAAAGGCAATAGTAATGAAAACTGGAAAAAACCAACTCATGACAGAGTTGTCGGAATGAAACCTCATCGTAAATCAGTGACTGCCTGTATTTGAAAATAGATTAACTTGTTTCATTGTTAGAGAATTATCAATTTATATGGAATAAATATAAAACATAAGCAAGATAATATTGATACACAAAATTAATGCTGGCTTTCTTGTTAGAAAGTGTCTATAAAGCCTAGTGATATATGGTGTATCATCCGTCCATATAATTATTAGCTCTCTGCAGGATTCATGATTGCTTTTTCTCTTAGAACCAAAAATCTGCATCCATCCACCAAGTTAAATAATTCTTCTGTAAATGAGAAGAAACATGAGCTTATTTAGCTAAGTGGTCATAAAAACTATTCATTATGTATTATTGTACATCTCAAGGGTAAATGTACTAAGTACTCAGTTTTTATACACTATTTAGTAGGATTTAAAGCTACCTTTTCAGAATATATCTTGTTTTAAAAAGAACGTTTCTAATGTACACATATTTTCAAATTCCTTAGTAGTAATTTTTTGAGAAATAATGTTAGATGTCTGCTTCAATTTTCAGGAGCATTTGTGTCCAGCATTACAAAGTTGTCTGATGATGACATCAGCGTTCCCTCCCCTCCCCTTGAAATATAAATCTTCAGAAACTCACCAGATAGGACATTTGCAGTCATCATGTAATAGTACATTTTCCTTTAATAGTTTTTTTGTTACAGATAGAAAAAAATTGTGGAAGACAAGTACAAATGCTATCTTAAAAGCATTTGGATTACATACTGAACAAAGTTGAAAATATGTTTGTGTGGGACAGAGTAGAAAACGCGTCTTAGTCATTTATTGCTATACTTCAAAATGTCAGCTGTTAGTTTAAAAACCTTTTGGTTGTAATTAGGAATGGCTTATATCTTAAACATTATTTTTCAATGTATCATATCTAAGGGGCCCTGATGATACAGTAAAGTGCCCAGCTGCTAATTGAAGGGTTAGTGGTTGAAACTTACCATACATTCTGTGGGAGAAAGGCAAGGGCAGTCTGCTTCCATAAACCTTTACAGCCTTGTGAACTCTGTGGGGCGATTCTATTCTGTCCTTAGAAGAGTTGCTGTAAGTTGGAATTCATTTAATGGCAATAGGTGATTTAGTACAATATCTTAAAGTATTTGCTTGTTCTATGGAAGCAATTCTTTAAATAAATCAGATGTGCTGTTTCCCCTTTCTTCTGTCATATTAAATAATGTGTTTTATTCCACCTTCCATTAGTAATTATGATCTAAATTTAAGCTTACAAAACTGTATTAAATATTTTGAGAATAATTTTCAAAACAGCCCTTAAACTCCATCTTATGTAACACACTTATATTTTAATGTCATTATTATGTTATCCTTGTGTACTACTCTCAGCTACTTTATTACTTAAATAGGAATTAAATGTTTTTACTGTTCCTTCTTCTCTTAGAAACAGTTTTAAGTGAGACTTAAAAGATAAGATTTTAATGGACTCTTCTGTTGTCACAGTCTTCCATTTAAATCCAGTTTACTCAGAAAATATCTTGGGATATAATAGAACCTTATCCTTCCCGTCAGAAGTTCACTCATCTTGGTTTCACTCAGTCTTTAGCTGCAGTTCTTTTGTAGACATACTTTGTACATATGGTATTTGGAACCGTGCTAAATTGTTTCTATGCTTAATTATTTATATGAAAAATGTTAGAAGCAAAGCCCATATATATTTAGTCTGGTATAATGTGTGGTCTGTTGGTTGAATATTAAGTCAAAAGTGATAATGGCTTTGTTCATAAATAGTGTATACTGAGGTTTTTAGAGGTGAAGTATGATGCCTGTAATCTGCTTTAAAGTAGTACAAAACAAATTAAGAGAGGAAAAAAAGATAAAAGTACCAAAATGCAATTAGTGAATCTAGTCAAAGAGTGTATGGGTATTGACTACTAGTATTTCAACATTTTTGTAGTTTAGAATTTTTTCAAAATTAAAAAGTTGAGGTAAAATAGAAGAGTTACAAGGGAAAGAAAGATAAGCATTTGAAAATATAAGTGATAAGAAGACTAATACAAATGAGGTGGATTTAGTTATTAGAGTTGTATCTTTTGAGACAAACTCTACTTGGTTAGTAGATAGGCATTGTTGGAAAATGGTATTTGCTGTGGTCTCAGGAAAATATCTCTACAATAGAGAACATTTCATCTTTAATGTAACTATATCACATAGGTGTAATCTGCAACATCTTTTAAGATCTTAATTTATGAATACTTCTTTGTTCTCCTATATTTTGGTTTCTGATCATATTTAACCCCTTTATGTTAAGACATTGGAAGTGGTCCGTAAGGTCGGTGGTTCAAACCCACCAGCTGCTCCTTGGAAACCCTGTGCAGGGTTACTATGTATTAGAACCACCTCAGTGGCATTTAACAACAAAAATAACAAGAAGACAACAGTAATATTTCCCTCACTTTTAATTCACTGCCAAGCCAACCTCTGATCATTTGTATTAGCCTACTTTTTTTTTTTTTTCAATAGTAAAAGTATTTATTATCAAGTGAACTGGGGAACACAATGTGCTTTAAATACTGTGTATTTGGATGGGAGTGGGACACCACACCTCCACACAATTACAACCAAAGACCTGGCATTTGTGCACATCAAACATCTTTATTTCATTCCTATTTTGCCATGAATTAATAGGGAATAGGTTCTAGCAGCTCAGGCTCCTTTCCATTGGTTCTCACAAAGTGTGCCTTTCTAGGGGGAGCAGACTGGTGAACCCAGATCCCTTTCTCCTAGGCTTCCTTCTTTTTCTGATCAATTTCCTTCACTCACTTTAGGAAGCTGTCTCAGCTCTTAAAGAGCTTAATATACTTAGTGCGCACATTAATTCTCTTGGGAAGAATCTTGCCCTTGACTTGTTTGTTCACAATAATGCCAACAGCATGCTGGGTCGCATTGTAGACTCTGCTGGTTTTGCTGTGGTAACATTTGTGGGGCATGCCTCTTTGAACCGTGCCCATTCCCTTGATGTCCACAATATTACCTTTCTTGTAGATTCGCATATATGTGGCCAAAGAAATGACCTTCTGTTTTCTGAAAGGCCTTCTCCTCCACCTCTTTCCCTTTGTGTTCATCATCTTGGTGATTACTGCAGGATGGCGGCACTGGCCAAAGGCTAGAGCCTACTCTTTGCTATTAGTTGCAGATACTGACTTTTCAGAGCAACACTTTGGATGAGTGCATATCAGTCTTTAGATAAACAAATTACTTGTTAAAATGCAAATTCTGATTCACTAGGACCGATAGGCATCCTGATATTCTACATCTCTGAAGAACCTCTACTTGAATACCAAAGCTGTTAACTGGTTTGTTAGATTTAGCAGAGATCTAGACCATGATTCTCACTGGGAGTATGGGAAGCTGCGTATTAGGATGGTGGGATGTTGTTGTTGTTGTAAGTGCGCTGTCGAGTCGGTTCCAACTCATACGACCCTGTATAGAGTTTCCAAGGAGCTACTGGTGAGCTTGAACCACTGACCTGTGGTTCAAACGGCTTTGCAGTCTGGTGCATTAAACCACAGCACCACACCAGGACTCTAGGATGGTGGGACAGTTATCTCAAATTCATATCCTACTTCAGCAAAATCCAAATTCCTTACCTAGGCCATCACACCCTTTTGAATCTAGCCCTTGTCCAC